TATGGCCATTTGTGCGGTGTGCGGTGTGCGTTAACTTTTTAGAAAATGGGCCATAACTCAAGAACCCCTTGGCCAATCAGTGTCAAATTTGTCACAGAGTATCCTTGGCCCAATGGCTACCCTTTGTACTAAAATAAGGGTGGGGAGATAATCAAGAAAACAAAACCAAAAGTACTGGTTGCTAAAAAATCTTCTTCTCCAGAACCACCGGGCAGATTTTCACCAAACTTACATACAAGGATCAGGATATGTTGAAGATTAAAAATTGTTCAAGGCATGACCCTGGGGCAAAGGGCGTGGTCTCAAGTTCACTTCAAAGTTGACCTAAATTTACAAATAATAAAAATGTTTATATTTTGCTTATTATTTTGACTAGGATCATCAAATCTTGTAAGTTGATGCATCTCAGGACATCACATCATGTTAACTCAAAAGTAGGTCACGGTGACCTACTTTTCAAATTTTGTAAGCATTTGTTTTCAAATTGATTTCAAGGCATATTTCAGGCACTTTAAGGCCTATGATCATCAAACTCTGTCAGTTGATGCATCTTGGGTCCTTGAACAACGTCAGCTTAAAAGTAGGTCACCGTGACCTATTTTTTGAATTTTATGACTAATTCTTTTTAAAACATTTAATCCAATTATTTCAGACACTGAGAGGTTTAGAATCATCAAATCTTGTAAATTGATGCATTTTGGGCCTTGAAACCTATTTATGAAAAAGTAGGTCATGGTGACCTACTTTTTAAATTTTGTAAGCATTTGTTTTCAAATTGATTTGAAGGCATATTTAGGACACTTTAAGGCCTATGATCATCAAACTTTGTCAATTGATGCATCTTGGGTCCTTAAACAATATCAGCTTAAAAGTAGGTCACCGTGACCTACTTTTTGAACTTTATGACTAATTCTTTTTAAAACATTTAATCCAATTATTTCAGACACTGAGAGGTTTAGAATCATCAAATCTTGTTAATTGATGCATCTTGGGACCTTAAAACATATTTATGAAAAAGTAGGTCACTGTGACCTACTTTTTGAATTTTGCAGGCATTTGTTTATAAATTGTTTAAAAGGCATATTTTGATTATCTTCAGACCTAGGATCATCAAACTTATAAAGCAGATGCATCTTGTGACTTTAAAAAATGTCGACCAAAATAAAGGTGACCTAGTTTCAACATTTTATGGCTATATTTTAGTATCTTAGGTATTTATTGGCTTAGAATGATCAAACTTTGTGAGTTGATGCGTCTTGGGTTTTCGGAGAGTGACAACCAAAAAGTAGGTCACAGTGACCTACTTTTCACATTTTATGGCTTTATTTAATTATCTACGGTACTTATTGGCTTAGAATCATCAAACTTTATAAGTTGATGAATCTTGGGTTTTCCGAGAATGATGTCCAAAAAGTAGGTCACTGTGACCTACTTTCGACATTTTAAAGCTTTATTTAAGTATCTACGGTACTTATTGGCTTAGAATCATCAAACTTTATAAGTTGATGAATCTTGGGTTTTCCGAGAATGATGTCCAAAAAGTAGGTCACTGTGACCTACTTTCGACATTTTATGGCTTTATTTAAGTATCTACGTTACTTATTGGCTTAGAATAATCAAACTTTTTCAGTTGTTGAATCTTGGGTTTTCCGAGAATGATGTCCAAAAAGTAGGTCACTGTGACCTACTTTCGACATTTTATGGCTTTATTTAAGTAACTTAGGTATTTATTGGCTTAGAATCATCAAACTTTGTGAGTTGATGCGTCTTAGGTTTTCGGAGAGTGACGACAAAAAAGTAGGTCACGGTGACCTACTTTATACATTTTATGGCTTTATTTAAGTATCTACGTTACTTATTGGCTTAGAATCATCAAACTTTATAAGTTGATGAATCTTGGGTTTTCCGAGAATGATGTCCAAAAAGTAGGTCACTGTGACCTACTTTCGACATTTTATGGCTTTATTTAAGTATATTAGGTAATTATTGGCTTAGAATCATCAAACTTTTTGAGTTGATGCGTCTTAAGTTTTTGGAGAGTGACGACCAAAAAGTAGGTCACGGTGACCTACTTTAAACATTTTATGGCTTTATTTAAGTATCTACGTTACTTATTGGCTTAGAATCATCAAACTTTGTAAGTTGATGGGTTTTCGGAGAATGATGTCCAAAAAGTAGGTCACGGTGACCTAATTTTTTACATATCAGGCTTTATTTAAGTATCTACGGTACTAACTGGTTTAACTTTGTTTGTTGATGCAGCGGTGGTTTGTAGAGATTGTCGACCAAAAAGTAGGTCATGGTGACCTACTTTTTGGTCGACAATCTAGGACTTATTGGCTTAGAATCATCAAACTTTGTTAGTTGATGTATCTTGGGTTTTGATAGAATGTAGACAAAAAAGTAGGTCACGGTGACCTACTTTTAAAAATCTCAAATACTTATTGGCTTAGAATCTTCAATCTTTGTTTATTAATGCATCTTGAGTCTTCAGAAATCTTCAATCTTAATATAGGTCACTGTAATGTACTTATGGGTTTTTTTTTTATAGTTTTCTTATTAAAAATATTTTCAGTCCTAATTGGATAAGAATCATCAAACTTTGTCAGTTGATGCAACTTGGGTCTTAGGATACTCAGGGTTAGAGGCTTCAAATAGAAGTGATAGATTGTACAATTTATCAGAAGAGCGATTCAAGGCCCTTGGGCCTCTTGTTTGTTGCAGCATAAACATGCAATGGTTATGCTTTACGTTTAAGTAAAAAACAAAGAGAGAATTGGTACTGACAAAAGACGGAACCTACAACCCCATCTGATCTAGGAGTTTTGAGCCCTCCCCCCCCCCCTTTTTTATAGCTAGTCCTCTTATCTCGGGGTTTTTTTATTCGGGTATCCCCCCTTCAAAAAAAATTCTACATCACTGTCATAAATGCTTAAAAATACATGTATTGATAACATAAATGTTGCAGAAACAAAAATAAAAAGATTAATTCATAATACACCATTCCTTTTTTTATTATTTTTAAGAAGCCAGATATTTAGATTAAAACGAGCCGAAGAAAGGGCAAAATGTCTTCAATGCAGGGATTGGGGAAGGGGTGGGTGGGTGGGGCTTTGGAGAGACTTTTTAGACCATTGCGCCATCTACAATGTAGATAACAATCGCTCCTTGTACATCTAGCGTCTTTTATGCTTGAATATGATAGTTTGTTTTTAATTTTTTTTTTAATTTAGTTAATTTGTTTTTTACTTCAGTACGTTTATGGAAATTACTTTTTGGTTCAGCATTAGTATTAAGATCTTTAAACAACACTATTTGTCGCTTTTAAACCTGTGTATAAATAAAACTTCCATTGATACCGGTACTTCGCACAACAATCCCAAGAAAACTATGGGGTGTATACACCCCGCGCACAACATGTTGCATACACTCCGGACACAACATTGATTTTACGTCAATATCTTTATATACGAACTGTTTTATTTACAGACAATTTGTACAAACGTTTATATTGTAAACATGTATTTAACAATAATATAAAAATGACGATAAAGCAAAGCTTTGTTCTAATATTCGATCATTAACACAATGTAGCGTCAATCTTGCTCCGATCCTCGGAATTGTGTTGAGGTGTTTGATGAAACTAGAAGGTGTCCAGTGGATTCATAGGTATCCATATACTCCTTAGATAATGCTTTCTTCCGTAGGCATATGCTTTCTGGCGAAAAATGACCGTAAATTGAGAAAATGGACAAAGAACGTACATTGACCCCCTTTCTCTCGCTTCGGAAGCATACACCCCGCGCACAACACAGCATACACCCCGCATGTTGGGATATACGTGGTGGTTTATCATAGTTTAATATTTTCATTTCGTTTCGATTTTTAGTTTCGTTCGTTTCGATTGGTTTCGTATCGTTTCGATAGGTTTCGTTTCGTTTCGATTTCGTTTCGCAGTTTACAGGTACCCTGATAATTAACGCATCACAGTTTCATATGAAAAGTTGATAATAAAAAATTCCGGAAACGAAATGCAGCCGTTTTCATGAATAAGCGATTGACTTATGTAAACATAAATTCAGGCACGTAGCAACGAGGGGGGAGGGGAGCATTTTTTTAAAACATAACTTTTACTATTGAAATGTTCATTGAAAGGCTGTTTGCCCCCCCCCCCCCCTTTGTCTGCAGCAGTGATAAAGGGTAATGATATAATTAGTTATTGTTTGAAGAAAATTTTACACTGTAAGAAGTTTGGTGTTGTAAAAAGTTGACCTCCACCTCCACCCCCCTCGAAGTAGGATTTTCGAGTGTGGGCAATTTTTTTTCCAGGTGACTAAAAAAAATTCGCTGGCTGCCCCCCCCCCCCCCCCCCCTTTCAAAAAACGATACTACTTCACTGAATATTATGGAAGTATTCCTGTCAGAGATCGAAAATGTAGTTTTTTTCAAAATTCAGTTCAATGTTTATTATTCAGTTATACATTAATATTAGAATTTAACGTTTACTGCATAGGAATTAATAGTACATCAAATTTATGGAAGATATACATGCAACTCCTTTCACACTTGAATCATGCACTGTTCAAAAAAGAACTCGCATACATATATCCAATAAGAATATTCTTTCGACCCCATGTGACGAATGAAATTAATGAATAAATGTTTTATTCATTTAGTACAGAATATCATGATGATATTACGTTCTGCTTCAGCTATAGGTAAGACATTTTTAATTCATGTTATTATATATATGGTTGGATCGATTCGCTTCAGTCAACATTTATTAGCAGGATATGAGACCGAAGAATTTAAGATGGATTAACTGATGTCAGAAACCTATAAGACCAATGACACCACAAATTAAGGTAAATCAGGGTTTAAATATTACAGGTGTTTACAGGTGTTTATCTAGTATTTTTTTAAAAACTTTATACAGCTACATCTGTATTCCCGCGTTCAGTATATGCAGTATACAAGCTCCTAGTGTTTGTGTTTATCCTCTCGAAATAGATTCGACCTCTAGAAACTTTGGCCAGTTGTTGGCCACATGGAGTGTCTGATTTAACCGCCCGCCATTTTGTATTAATCATTTTCCTTTCACCATTCGTTTTCCCTCCTTTGTCTGCCATCGCCATGAAAAACTGACGGCACAAAGAGGTAGGTGTAAAAGTCAAGTTTTTTTCTTCTAAAACCATGAATAACAGAGCAGTAGATTAAAATGCACAGTGTAATTATAGTATTGGGTGGTCAAATATTTAGTTTGGAGCACATGTACGTGGTGCATGGTCATAAATTTATTAATTTCCGGCTGGACATTATTATGGACACTGATTGTAGGACAGGTGGTCACATCAAAGGTAGATAATCATAATGTTCCTAGGACAGTAGGATAATTGTGTATAGACTAACAAACCTCGCTAAGCCTGTGCTTAAAAGTAAAGAGATTAAAAATATCTGTAACAAAACTAACATGTTTCATTTGATTTTTTATGGTTATCGATTACACCAGAGACATAATTATGTACGTACATGATTGATATTATATGTCTCTGATGAGATGTAAACATGTCTAGCGCAAACTCTTGATTGGACTGATTATTATACCATGTTAATATACTATGGGTTAAAATTTATTCCCGAAACAAGAGCCTATGGTTGGAATATCTAGCAAGAGCTTGAAATAGCAACGGAGCTTAATTTAGCTATTCAAAATAGATTAATAAAGCTATGTATTTGTGTTTTATTTTCCAAAAAAGAAATTGACAATTAAAAAACCGTAAGTATATATTTAATTTAAATTGACTTTGAACATAAATTATTATAGGCTATCAAATAGCCATATCCGAAATTAAATTCTAACATTGCAGCTGTTGAATACTTTTAAGTAACAGTTGACTTCAGGGGTGTGATGGAAATCCATAATTTTTAAAAATGATGATTCTAGTCATTAAATTGATTTTTAATAATGATGGAAATTCATTTTTTTTTTTTAGAAAAATGATGAAAAACAGTCATTTCTATCTTGAAATTTATTTTAGAAATAGAGTTACCTCTGATATTAAAAATGAGCTGATCTGATGATCATGAATATTTAGATCGAGTGAGGATCTCGTTAGTTTTACGGGGCGCGCTAAATTAACTTGTCAAGATGTTTCTCTACACAAGGGTCTATGGCAGTATAGTGTACTATATTTAATTACTGTAGTAAATGGGTTGGAAAAATTGACTTGGGAATAGAAATATGATCAAAAGAAGTCATTTTTACAAAAATCAGAAGATCATGTACATTATATACTTAGAAGAAATGACCATTATCCATCATTTTTAAATATTATGGATTTCAGTCACACCCCTGACTGATTAATATGAATTTCAATTTTTTTGAGTAACTGCATGTACAATAAATGAATAATAGTAGGTCTGCTCTATGTGCGGTGAGACAGTTGGACTAAGTATGATTGATTTACATTGTGCTTTAATATCTCATTGACCTTAACTGACCTCCTTTATAATCAACTGCTCGATATTAAGAAAAAAAAAAAACATCTGACAACAACTCTGACATGCTTACTTGGATTTTTTTTCATTTTTTTAGCTCACCTGAGCTGAGGACTCAAGTGAGTTTTTTGATTACATTTTGGCCAGTGTCCATCTGTCTGTCTTTCCATCTGTAAACCTTTCACACATTTTCAACTTCTTCTCAAGAATCACTTGACTAATTTCAACCAAACTTGCCGAAGTATCCTTAGGTGAAAGGGACTCAAGATTATAAAAATAGAGGGCCAAATTCCTTTCCAAGGGGAGACAGAAACTAGTGAAAAATTAATGGCATCTTTTGAAAATCATCTCAGAACCACTGGGCCAGGAAAGATTAAACATTTAATATTAAATCATGACCAGGGGGGGGGGGGGCATCAATAGACAATCAAAGTTTTATATAGGAATATATAGGAAAAATCTTCAGAAATCTTCTTCTCAAGAACCACTGGGCCAGGAAAGATGAAACTCATAAGTACTACGATTCACCATTCAGAAAATACCTGTCTTTTTATTACTCACCTATAAGTCAGACATAGACTGTTGGACTAAAATTTAACTCCCAAAATACTGACTTATAGGCGAGTATATACGGTATATTGAAGCATCCCTAGGTATAGTGTAGATGCAGAATGGATAACATTATGACTCCAGATGACTATATGCCAATGAATAGTACTGTGTCAATACATAAATTGAATTGATTGAGTATCTGATCATGAGTGGTCAGCAATCAATCGCTTAATATAACCTGAAAACTTTTAGAATGCAAAGTCTTTCAAGAAGTCACAACTTGGTGAATAAATTTTCATGCAATGTTTTCAAAAGGGTTCAAGGTTGAATTATACTGCACCAAGGTGAGACTTTTTATGGAAAATAAGTGTGACCAAAAAACTATTTCAAACTATATAGCTTAATTAAGGGATTGTGATGGACCTGTTAACCAATAAATAGCGTGTGTTTTAAGCTAGCTGTTTCTTAAATTAATTTATTGAGACAATTTCAAGTAGCATCAAGACACGATCTAGACAATTAAGTTTTAGATATCCACAAAAACTATTTGTCTTATAATTTTCAGTTTTGAATTGAAACAACTAAAATGACAGGAAGAGGGAGAGCGCGTGCTAGAGGGAGAGCAAGAAGAGCAGAAGACAATGAAATTCGGAGGCCAGGTGAACAGAGCACACAGGCCCAACAGTCCCCAGTACAGGTAAATGTCAGAGCAGGCCAGGTGACCATATTGTCGAGGCCCAATAGTCTATTTGTATGGACAATTATTTATAAATACTACAGGAGTTTCAAGATGACTCAGTGTGAACAAAAAACTTTTCAAATGGGAAACCCCTAAAGAATTTTTTATTTGAACCACTTCTTTTAGATGGAAGGTGCTCAAGCTGGTCCTCAACGTTCTATGAGAGGTGCCCAAGCTGGACCTGAGCAGGCTATCAGAGGCTCTCCAGCCCAATTAGAAGATGCGAGAAGAGGAATTGGAAATCTGCAGATTCAGAGATCAGTTGGTGGGTGATAAGAATGAGAATAAGTATAGGCAGTTAGGCACATTTTTGTCCGGTTATGTAAAGGTTCTTCCCTTGTAATTATAGGTGTTTAGGGAATCTTAATGTGTTCTTTTGCCCTAAGAACAAGGAAAACATTCCACCTGTACACTTGCCTTCTACCGTACATCATTTTTTTTTTCGCGATGATCTATTTTTATGCATTTTTTGCGACCATTTTTAATTGGAAAACTATAAAGCATGCAGAAATTACGTCAGCTATAATGTGACATAAAAACATTATCATTTGAATCTAAAAAATTATTATTCGTAAAAAGTAATTTAATACGCAGAACAAAAACTATACTAATCTACCCCTTTTTCGCAAAATTTCCAACACACACACAAAAAAAAACGGATATAGGGTATTAGAGGTGAATGTACTGGTAGTTACAAGCAAACCAATTAGTGTCTTGTGTCTTATTGAGATCTTGCTTTCAGTTTCTATTTTATTTCTGTTGGCTTTTTAGGTCACTCGGGACAGCCTGTTGAGCTGATGGCTAATTATTTCCGCCTTACGGAGAGTAAGAACTGGATCTATTACCAGTACCATGTAGATTTCAGTCCGCCTCTGGACTCCACAAGAATGAAGAAGAAGGTGTTTCATCAACTTCCACAGTTTAGGAAGAAAACCACTATCTTTGATGGAGGAATACTTTACCTGCCTCAAAGAATGCCAGATAAGGTACACTATAAATATATTTTTGTTTGGTCTGTGTACAATATGTACAACATTTGGCAAAAGCTGATTTTTGAACAATTAGTTTGTGTTCATTTGATTTAGCATTTTCTAAATTTGCTTTTTATGAAGATACTGTTTACAGGGTCATTTTTGCCCCCATTTTATTTTTGCTTTTGTTTTTTGCCGTAATCAGAAAATAGGCAAATTAAACGGGACAAAATTTGCTAGTGCAAAATAGTGGTAATAAGATGGTAAAAATAACCTGGTGTATACAGTATATATATAAGACATTCATCGACGTGTTTGATTTAGAATAAGCTGCTTTCTGCAGAAAATACTTATTAATTAGAATACAAAGGCAGATGTAATACCTTTACTGTTTTTGTTGGCTGTTTCAGGTCACAGAGGTCACTGTGGGGTCACCAGTCGATAACTCACCAATCAGGGTGACCATCAAAGAGACCAGAGAGATGTCCGGGGCTGACCCAGAGACCGAGAAGTTGTACTGTGTCCTGCTAGGAAGGTGAGACTTATTCTACCATTGGCAGTGCTGTAGTTCATTACCTCCACCTTTTTAAGGACTGTCTGATCCCAAATTTGTCGTTATCGCATACATTTACGAGGGTCATTCAAAAAGTTCGTAGACTTTTGTCCTAACTTTTTTATTTAACGTCATATTATATCCAAATTTGGTACAAATATTTTAACAACTGATTCATGCAAATAATTTGAGTTAAAAAATTGGAATTTTTCCTCATATTTATTAAAATTACCAAGGATTTAGAACAGTAAAAATGGGGTCACGGAGTACCGTCAAAATTGAGTAATTTTCTAAGTTTCACTTTATAGTATTTACAGCTATACCTCTAATAAATGGAGCTGAAACAAAATAAAAGTTACATGTTTAAATAAAGTATTGCTGTATTAATTAAAATGAAATCAGGTTGTGTAATATCTCGTTCCATTTAAAAGATATCAGCTTCTAAATACATATGGACTTGATTAAAAAAGGCAAAAAACCATGACGTTGGAGGACGTCACGGAGCAGCAAGTAGCAATAAAATTAGACTTTACATTCGGGAAATTTTTTCTACAAGCTTAAAAAATCCTTATAAATCAGGATCTGTATGAAAAAAAAATCTGTGTATTTGTATTAAGTTGAAAAAAACAATTTTTGAGTGGTAGCGAGTTTTAATCGGACAATGGATTGTCTGCAAAGAAACAGGTTAAAGTGAAAAATATTGTCAAAAGAGTTAGGAACGTCATTGAACGTGATGTGTGCTTCAATGTTGCAGAAATAATAAAGTTGCATGGTAAATCAAAGCAT